CAAGTATTAGTTCATCTTCGTCGTCAGACGTCTGTTCAGACGCATGTATGCCTTCGTCTTTCACGGGCTTCCTACCCTTGCTCGCTTTGACCTTCTTACTGCCAGCCCGGCGCGGGGACGTGATGACAACCTCTACAACGGTTTGCATGGATTTATCGGCGCCCTTATTCCCCAGCCCAGTAATTGCGCTGTCATTAACCTTCTCTGCGTCTTTCGAGCCCTTGATTTTCTTAGGCGTTTTCTTCACATCATATTCGTCCTCGCCATCTTTATCGGAGTTTCGTGTTCGGCCGAGGTCCTTAGCATTTGTAGCGTCGAGGTCGCCTTCTGGAGGTGGTAGGACGGCGGGTGGAAAATTCGGGCTAGGGAGATCGTCTGTGGGCGATTGGAGACGACCAATACGTTTCCGTTTCCTTGGCTGTATGGGGCTTTCGGGGGGTAGAGGGTCCGGTGCAGCATTTTCGTCAGGGGCATCTGGTTGTGGAGTAGAGTTGATCAATGTACTTGCAGGGAAAGGATCCGAAGGAGGCAATCGCGGGCTTGAGCTCAGCAACGGGATGGTCACAGGGTCGGAGGGCAGTGGCGGGTCGTTTCCAGCTGGAATCACACGTTTGACTGGGCGCGGTTTTGGCCTTTGTTTCGGCTTTCGGACAGGCGTCGTGGAAAGTTCGTCATCGGTGATGTTGATGACTTCCTCCTCGTCCTGTGCAGTCCGCTTTGTGGCCTTACGTGTACGCATCTTGGCACGCTCAGCGATGTCTGGGGAAAAGTCGTTCAATATGGGGTCAGTTACCCCGGTAGCATTTTCGACGACTGTAGGATCAGAATGAGTCATGATCGTGAGTTGGGGGTTCCTGTGGTCGGAAGTCGGCGTGTGAGGCAAGATAGGGTCGCTGACGGACGCGTTTGCCGAGGGGCCAGCGCTCGTACGACTAAAGACAGGTCTGGGGCGTGGTTTGGTACCGCTCTTACTCGAAGATCGCGAAATTGTAGAAAGGTCAATGTGAGGAGGAGTCGGGAAAGACGTGATTGTCGACTTTGCCAGGGGGTCAGTTCCAACAGAGGATATGTGTGAGGTCTTCTCAGCAGGTATCGACGCAAAGGACTTTATGCTAGAGATGGCCCCCTCTGACGGGAACACGGGGGTACGTCACTGGCACGAGGCCAACCCTAGCTTGGAGGATGCGCACCTGGGAGAACTGGAGAGGCAGACCGACGAGCATCGAGTTCCGGACTACGGAGCTGGTCTTCCTCTTCGCTGTCTTCTATTATCCAATCATTCTTGCCCGCAGCCATTATGGCAGACAGCAAATGCGATGAGTGAGAAAGAGAAAGGCAGAGACGCGTCGGATCTCACGCGTCCCGCTGTATCACGTAATACATCTTAGCTACCGCCGTCATGTCCCATCCAGACTCACAGTCAACTACACCACCCAGGCCGAGATCTTCGAACAAGACCCTTTCATCTCCCCTACGTCCTGATCCTGCCCCTCAGCCTTCCGGCTCCCAACGATCTACAGCCATACCGAATGCCTCTCCACGACCCATCATTGGTTCGGCGGCTTCTCCAGCAAGCCCCACTCCGGAACGCTCTAAGACAAGGGCGATGGACTTGCTCCGAAAACACTACGGGCTAAGCGTCACGCCGCCACCTCCGTCCGGCCGAGCGATGGACCCAATGGACCTCGGTCAGCACTCCTCGAGAAATAACCCGAGCCTCGCTAACGAGATTGCAGACTCACCAGCCTTCGACGCAAAGGCGTATTACGATCAGCTCATTACCACGGCATCACTCACGACATTGCTGAAGAAGGAGAACGATTTGCTGACAGGCGAGTTGTTGAGCAATAATTTTAGCATAAAGCCACTCTTACGTGCGCCCTACCCAGAGATGAGGCAGCTTGACAGCGAACGTCAATCTCTGGTCTATAACCATCATCACGAACTCATCGACGCTACTGATACCATCTCGTCTGTAAGTCCATTAGTCGCACACTCACTCGGCTACTCTTTATGCGTCATAGATGAAGAGCCGGGCAGAATCGCTTGACTCTGACTTGGAACTCCTCAAGACAGCGTTCTCTGAGATATCCCGGCTGAGTGCTGAAGTTGCTGTTGAGAGCTCTCCATCATCAAGTTAACATTGTCAGGGTCTCTGATACGGACACTGCTCTTACGAGAACAAGTGTCCATGTGCTGGGTCTATCAACTTAATCTAGTCATTCCTTCCATTTTGCGCCCTCAACCCGAGGGCTGACTGCCGGAGCCTGCTTGATCTCAAGTAAATGCGCCATTAAATATGCAAGTTAGCTAAACACGTGCCTTACTTGTTCGTCACAGTAGTCGGAGATCTCTTGATAATGTTTCAAGCGATGCCGGCGGTGAATCATCACCAACATGATGCAAATAGCTGCCATGGCTGCGGAGTTTATCCAAGAATCGACAAAGGAGATTTCATGCGGCGAAGGAGCAATATACCTAGGAAAACGGCGAGTGTGGTCACTGCGTAGTGCCACACTGCAACTAGAAAGGGCTCTTCAGGTGGGCTAGCGCATAGTTTTCGAAAGCAAGTATACTGATCATCTGTCTCAGTGTTTGAACATCGCAAAAAAATAGCTCAAGCGCACAGATTTGCAATCTCGATGATATCGACACGGTTGCCCAACCGTTTGCAGTGACTCGCACACTTGAGTTGTCGTATTGCAGAAAAACCGAGCCGTTTCACAATTGTCACGTACGATCGTGTTCACATATGCCAACCCAGAGTCGTCTATCCCAGGATATGTGCTGAGCTCAAATATACAAGACTGCTTCTCGGTCACATTGGCGTAGCTTGAAGAGGATCATCGGCCAACCACATGCAAGGTTCGTCATGCTGGCACAACGTCCCGAAAGCCGAGAGAACTTACGTGCAGATAGAGCGTAGGCATACAGAGCCGTCAAAGTTGTGAAAGTCGGCCAGCCCGGGGATATTCGACGGCGCGCATTGGTCGTCGCGATTGAACTGACATGGCTGACCGACGGCGACGAGCGGGCGGCACGCGTCGCCCTCGTCCGGGCAGAAGCTTCCCACAGGACATAGCGCTGGCGCCGTCTGGTTCGCGTGATAACGAACGGGAAACTCTTCATGCCGGCACTGGCGTGGGACACAGGTCCCGTTTATGTTGCCTGAACAGAACGTCTGGGCGTCACAGTCGCTTATGAACCGCCTTGTGCGAGGGTCAAGGCGGTTGGAGGAGGCCGAGCACGGTCTCCCGAGAGCGGTGAGGGGAGACTCTGACTCCGAGTCGGTGGCAAGTACTGGGAACGTCGGTTCCAGAAACACTGTGACGAGAAGGATCTCTCTGAGGAGGTGCATGAGTGAGGTATTGTGACGGGGACAGTTCTGCCGCAGTCTAATGAGACCAGAATCTGCAATCAAACCAGCCAGCAGAGCGTGACCTTGCCAGACTTGCATGGCGAAGAAGTCTGACCGTCAGCCATTCAATCAAGATCAAGATTCAGTCTCGGTTTCCTTGCAGCAAAATCGGAATCATATTGAGTATTGGACAGTATTTGGATTCGTCCTTTATATTTACATTCGACACATTCAACGTCACAACAGTGGATCAGGCAGCTAAAGCCGAGAATGATCGCGCTTTTGGTGAACAAGGGAAGTAGAAAACAACGTGTGGGGTCTTTCCACCAACTTTCCATCGACGAATACGTCTACCTTCTCATCGAGGAATGCAATGTAGCCCTTTATGTCCGCAGACTCCGGATAGGCCGTGCGGTACCACCACGCAAGGCCTTCCTTTTTTCCCTTCCCCGAAGGTAGGTTTATGTCATAGTAGTTTGCAACTCCCTAAATCATTCTTTAGTCAGGGTCGTTTCGCAAAGAGTGGAAGAACGCGTACCTTGTACGGGCAGCCAGTCGTCAACTCGGCATGTGAAAGTAGATCAAGCCGCACGTCTCCCTTGGGAATGTAAGTTCTGACTGGAAGACCAGTCTCGAAGAGAAGACGGGGCTTGGTCGTGTTGGCCACTTCAACACCATCGATCTCAATGCGGACGTGGCGAGACGACTGGTGGATGTCGATTCTCTGCGATATTCGTCCACTTCAACCTGAGCCTGGGAACTAGTACAAGAGTTGATGGTCTTCGTACCTTGTAAGGGTCCTTCGGGTGGACATGGATTTCATCCTCCTCCTCTAGCCAAGCGTCTACCCTGTCAAAGACTATTTTGACGAGATCCTTGAACTTCCCATCATTGTGAACAGCGACTGCTCCTTCGGCTACTCGTTCCTTTACGACAAGGTCATACGTGGTGTAAGTTTCGCTTTCTTTTGGATTCTGTAGGAATCTTTGAGGCACATCGGATACGTGAAAGAAATATGTCGGGTAGTATGGATGCTCCCAGCTGATTTCCGGTCAATGTCTATCTGAGCGCTATTGACACAACTGTAAACTCACCCTAGCTTTGCCTTGCGTGTGTCGACGATGTACTGACCGTTAAACAGTACACGCACACGACTTGGCGCGTCCTCGATGTAACCAGGTCGTGGGAATGGACGGGACATAATGCTAGTCAACTATGAGAGGGTGAGTCCGTCCTTGGTCCGTCCTCGATATTCCGTCCTCGATTTGAGGGAGTGATTAGGAATACGACATTATGGTGAGTAACGAGGATGAGCTAAGCGGAATGTCATGTCTTTTGTGTCATTGTCCGGCGGAACGGAAAACAAAGACACTCACGTTGCTTTGTCAGTGTGTGGAACTACGGTACCAATCTGCGTGTCGTAGTTGGAGTTACAGTTACAAGACCTTGAGCTGCTAATACAAGCAGGGTTGTCGTTTCCTGTAAGGGATCATACCACTGAATCATGGAGAGAGCGAAGTGAGCATTAAATAAGTTGCCCATGTGATTAATATTGTGATCCGAGAGATCCGAGAATGATACTGATAGCATGAGAGGATCAAAGCATCGTTGACTATATAAAAGTCTCACCCCAAGAAAGCACGCATTGTTGGGGTAGTGGTAACCTGGATCGTTGCCACTCAGTCTCGATCCGCCCCGGGTTCGATTCCCGGACAATGCAATGCAACTTTTTCTTTTTTCTTTCTTTCAGCGGCCAGCTGGCAAACCGCAACTCCAAGAACAACAGCGCAGAAACCTGACAAACCGGGGGAAAAATGTGGTCGGCCATTGGGGGGTTATCTTGAAGTTGAATGTCCTCTAAGGTTCGGCGTACAGCGCTGGCGACCATGCTTGCTAGCTCCCATCAATCACTCACGTCAACACGGCTTGCCCAGTCACTATTCCTAACATGCCTAGCTTTCGTCAAGGCCTTGGTTTCATCTGCTTTGCAAGCCTCCTCTATCTGGTGTTCTATCCACGCAACTTCCGATCGCCCGTCCCTCTCACGGATGGCCGCATCCAACGCTCTACTCGGATCGTCGCCGTGGGTGATCTGCATGGGGACATAAAAAACGCACAGGAAGTCCTTGAAAAGGCTCGGGTTGTTGACTCAAACGGCAGGTGGTCAGGCGAAGTAGACATCTTCGTACAAACGGGAGACATCATCGATCGGTTTGTTCCAAAGTTCAATACGTATTTCCAATGCTGAGCAGAGATTCGCAGTGGTGATGACACGATAAAACTGTTCGACTGGATGGAGGACTTGCGTTCGCAGGCTCAGAGTTTTGGGGGGCAAGTGCTATCTCATCTGGGGAACCATGAATGGATGAACGCAATCGGTGAGTACTCTGTTGGACATGGCCATGTACAACCCCTTGGTTCACAATCCGTCTGCCTGTTTAGGTGACTGGAGGTGAGTTGTCTGCTCGATCTTTAAACACCATGTTCTGAAAAGAGTCTGTGCTGCACAGATACGTCTACCCGAGCGAGATCAAGACCTTTGGCGGCGTCGCTGAACGACAGGCCATGCTTTCCACTGGTCGCATTGGTCGTGCTTGGGCTGCAAACTATACGACGACATCTCGCCTTCCTCTTCACCCGTCTCTTGGTGACCCGAATGATGACTTTCCTCCCTTAGACGACTCCGTGGCCAGCCGCTTACCCACACCGCTCTCTCACGCCGCTTATTCCTTTGTTCATGGAGGGCTCGCGCCCAACTATCCGCATCTCTCTCCGTTCCCCTCCGCCATAAATGCTATTGGGCGCGCGCTGCTGCGCAAGTTGCAACATCGAGAGCAGCCCCCGCCGCACCCGCCGCACCCGTACCCTGGTTTGCCATCAAGCGCAACCTCCAAGGAGAAAGAGCTATATGGGTCGTATGGCCCTTTATGGTATCGCGGATGGGCACAAGATGACGAGGACAAGGTGTGTAGGGAAGTTGACGCGGTACTGGAAAAGACAGGAACGAGGAGGATGATAATGGGTCACACACCCAATTTCGAGGTGCGCCGCGTATCTCCCTCAGCACAACGGAGAAGTAAGGTTTCCCATTTATTGCAGAAAATTGTCTCGCGTTGCAATGGCAAAATTATTATTATTGACACTGGTGAGCACATAATCTGTCGTTTGTATAATATGAAGTGAAAAGCTAATGGACGAAACAAAGGCATTTCACACGCATATGGCGGCGCGTTGTCGGCCCTTAGCGTGGAATATACCCTGGAACCTGTTCTATCGTCCTCGTCTTCGGAGAAGAAGTGGAGAGAACAAGAAGTCGTGAAAGCCATATACATAGACCGTTCCGTGGTCCTGGTCGATGAGGGACGAGATATCCTCGGAGATATTTAGAGAGTGCGCAGCGCGCTGAATTGTGGTCTGGGTATCGTACGAGACTAGACACCATCTTGGTAGTTGTGGACTGAATGAGAACCTTTTTTCTGAGCAGAGAGAATAAAGAACGGTCGATACCCACTCAAGCCTGGAAACGCAAGACGTGTGATGTCAATATCTCCGCCGCCGCCATCTCCCGCGCCTCTAGTGCGGGATTGATGGGTTTAATCTGATGCCCAACTGCTCGTCACCGACATCAGCTGGCTGCCAGCCCAGGCCAGTGTTGGTACGCTCCGGCAGACGGGCTGAGACGGCGTCTAAACTCTAATCCGTGCCATGCCCTCCCCGCGTCTTCTGCACACCCTATTATTTCGCACCCACCCTCTCTTGAATCTCGATAATGTTCAAACTCTTCTCAGGTGGCCGCTCAGTACCGACTTGGACGAACGGTTCTTCCCATAGTTTGCCCCAGGAGACCCTCCCCGGCGGGCCATCCCCCGATTCTGTTCTTCATTCTCATGATACGAAACCAATCACTGCCCGACACCAGGCCTCGGCCGAGGAGGCGGGCGCCAGTGCCAATAGTGACCACCGTCATGAAACAAGCTGGACGACCGGAAACGCCGATGGGTCGACGAATCGAGGTGGACCCGAAGTAGACGCCGCAAGTGGGCCTTCTACGATAGCCCCACATCGCCGACGGCCTAATGTTCTCGCCGACGCGAAGCCTACTGTCGACTCTAATGATCCCTCCCGCTCTCCTTCGAGTCCCTCCAGACCACCCCGCCGGCCTCAGGCTTCTGAGCACCCTCGAGTTACCACCACCGCGGATACGTCGGCCAGCCACCGTGACCCAGATGGACAGTCCCCCCTTTCTGACGCACCTCGGGAGAACTCGAACAACCTCCGTGCTCTTTCCCTCGGGGTCTCCAACTTGCATGCGAGCGGCGGACTCGTCGGAGCTGCGGAACTTGAAGGCTTGCCCGGCGGCACGGAAAACGCACGACGCTCAGCGTCCGTTGCATCCCGCACTGGCAGACGCACATATCACGCCCTCGGAATCGACGGTGTGAGTATTGGCGGCGGCGCCGCCGCCGCCGCCACTGCTACGAACGAGCCTTCCAATGTGGCCCCGGCCCCGGCCTCGAGCCTGCAGGCGCGCGGGGACGATGGCGTCGGCCGAAAGCTATCGAAAATCATAAAGCGCGATGCCAAAGCGGAGAAAGCCGCTCTGCACGTCGCGCTCAAAGAGCTGACAGAGATCCAGAAACTCCAAAAGGCTTCCATCAAGGTAAACGCCATTTCCTAGCCTCATACTCATGAACCTTTCTTCCCTTTTTTTTTTCTTTTTCTTTTTTTGATACTTGGCGATACGCTAGGAGGAGGCTGTGTCCCACTCGTGGCACTCCCGAGCGCTGAGCGATGCGCACAAAGCGGAAATGGGGCTCCTCGCTGCGCGTACGGAAAGTGAACGCAGACAGGGAAGCCTACGAGCGGCGGGGGAGGTGCTCGAGGCGAATCGCAAACATGCGTTCAAGACAACCGAGATGCTTCGCGAGAAGATGGAAGAGGTCGAACGCCTCCGAATCTGCAAACAGGTGGACGACAGAGAACGCGCTATCAAGGTGAAGAGCCTCGCTGGAGGGGTAAGTCTCCGCGCGTATGAAATCCATACAAGTGCTCACGAACTTGGCATAAAGCGTCACGGTCTTAGCAGAATCCTGGGATCGAGATGAAGCTCCTGTGCTTAAAAAACAAAGACATCCGGCCCAACAACCTCAGCCATCCTTCTTTGGTGGCATCAATTCTATACTCTATGCTACCCAACCCAGCTCTCGAAGTAGTTTACCACCATTCTTGTACAGAAACATGTAGTTCTTTAGCCAGTCATTAATCGTGGTGAGCGGATGCAAGGAGGGGGCGCTCCTCAGGCGATCGAGCCGTATACTTGCGTACCAGCCGCGACGTCAGAGCACCTCCACCTAAATCCACAACGTCTTCAACGACCTCATACCTCCCAATCTTGGGTAATAAAACGATCCAAATGTAGTAATACAAGGCGCAGAGCTGACCAAGGCGTCTTTGTCACGATCAAGTAGTGTGCGATCAAAGAATCACGTACGAGGAGTAGGACAACGCCCACGACGCAGTACCTACTCCGACAAAACAACGTCAGCACTACCACCTCGCACGGCCACGAGAGGAAGAGAGATACGCACGTCGCATACCAGAAGGAAACATCCGCATGTCCATCTTTTGGCGGTACCCTGACAGGGAGCGTCGATCTGTTAACCTCGTATGGTTTACCGAAAGACGGTGGTCGTACCAGGGCATAACGAGGAGGAATATGCATTGAAAAAGCCACAGCGCGATCACGACATTCCACACCTGGAAGGGAGACTTCGACAGCCCTTCATTTACACGGCGAGCACGGAGCAGCCAAAGCCCTATCGCTGTTGCGACATGGAAAACCTTAAATAAGGTAAGAGAGTACCCCTCTATCCGAGCGATTCAAGGGTGGAAAAGTACCAGGTGCGGATAAGACGCGAGGTCAACAAGGAAGTTGAACGCGTCACGCGCAGGTAGCGCACATATGACGAGGACAGTGAATGCGTATTTGAGCATGATGGGTCCGATGGGCGTCCCGAAAGGCCGAGTAGATGCAAAAAAGGTCGGATAAGGGAGGAGGCCCTGACGAGCCACTTCGCGCAAAACGCGCGTTTGGCCAACCGCCTGGATGATATCATACACGACTAATAGCGAACGCGATGCCCTAGCCACCTACAACCGCCATCTGTAAATTGGACGACGAGGTAAGCATGGGAAAATAAGATGTAGGCCAGACCACACTGACAATGTTGCCCACACAGCTCAACGCGACCAGGACCGGAAGAATCTTCGATGCCCAGTGCATCCCAAATACACGCTGGAAAAATAGCAGGCCTACAAGTTGGCCTGAACCTTTGATCTCGTCCAGTGGCACGGCAGCGATGTACGCAAAGTTCACGGTGAGAAATAGCATTGTTACAACTCCAAGGGAGATGAACCCGGCATTTCGGACGGTGCGGACGGGGCTGACACCGTTTACTTCTCCAAGCACATTAAAAGCATTAGACCAACCGACATATGCATAATTTGTCTTTACAAGAGCGGTTGCGAGAGCATTGGGATTCGTGGTGCCACCTTGCCAACAATTTCGAAAGTTCGCAAACGGGTCAGAAATATGAGTGAAACCCGCCAGAACGGCAACACCTGTAACAGCCACGCTACGAATAGTCATCAAAACCTGATTTGGGGAAGGACTTGAAAGTACCAACAATACCAAAGATAGGACCTTGAATATACTTAATG